AATAAATAAATAAATAAGTGGTAAAGAGGCACATTCACTCCAACAATTTCCTGGTCTTCTTCTTCTTTTTTTTAAAAAAACTATATATCTTCCACTAGTCGTGTTCATGGTGGTGATAGCCCCCACCCCATGGGATGTTCTCAGGGAAGAATGGGAACAGCTTTGGTCCTATGTCATCCAAAGCCCTTCCATCCTCCTCATTTGATAGGGTGGGGGAACTTTTCATCTATATTGTCCTAGAGCAGGTGTGTGAATGATTTACCCCCTTCCTTTTAATGAACGGGGTTACTAAAGAAGAAGAAATTCAGCCACCTCCCCCACTCTCCATCTAGTGTGAACTGGTGAGGTTTAGAAAGTGGCACAGGATACATCACTTTGCTTGCTTCTGCTGAATTTTTATTGCTGCACCTAACATAATAAACTGTTGGATGAATGGACTGCTTGCAGAACTAAATAAAAGGTACGTCGTATGTAAACAGTCCTTCATTTTCTTTCTATTTTGCCTATTCACACTTGCACTTCGAAGTGTGTCCTTGTTTCTTTCCTGTACTCAATCTGTATTGAACACTACTATTTTTGTCCTCCTAAAGATCTAATAATAATTAAAATAAAGATTGTACAGGCTCTTAAGATTTGTATCTGAGCTGCTGCTTTCTCCTGCAGGATTGTGGGCACTGACTTCCAAAACAAAGTGCTCCTAAACATATTTTCATTTGACTAAAATGTAGGAGCGTTCCCACTATTTTTGGGAGTCTGGAGACCAGGCGTGGAAACTCACCAGGGAAGGGAACTGATGAAACCAATCCTGAAATATGTCACAAGCCCTGGTAGGGTTTGTTTGACAAAATCATGCTTTCTTTGTTGTTGTTATGTACTGTCAAGTCCATTCAGACTTGACAGTACATAACAACAACAAACAAAGCATGACTAGGCAGGAGGAAATTTTCTAGTGGAATGCAAGGTTCAGAATTTGAACTACAAAAATTCTCATAATGGTTTCAAAATATGCTTTTTTTAAACTGCCATGTGCAGTGAGGTATTTCATGACTATGCAAAGGAGTCCACTTTTGAAAGCAGTGCTCTTTGCTCTTAAGAGTTTATTTTAAAGAAATCATTTCAAAAAATAATTTCTAGTCATTAATCTTAAGCTTTTAGTTAAAATGGTTATCAGGCATTTAAAAGGATGTCTCTTAAGTCACTGTATAGCTATAGTTAGCNTTCTGTGTTATCTCCTCCACAGAAACTAATGGTAGGAACTCTGTTTTTCCTCCTTTGTGGCAATCTCTTCACTATGGCTGATGACTGATAGTGCAGCTTTACTTTTCAATCCCGTAATTTACTTCTGTTTTAGATACAGATTTTCTTCTGTTTTAAAAAGGGGAAAATTCCAAACAGAAATTAAAATAGGTTTAAGGCAAAAACAAACAAACAAACAAAAAAAACCCAGTAGTTGAAGCTGTATCCCTAAAACTAAGAAAACTCAGGCCATGGAATAACCCCTTGTTCCCCATCCAAAACATGGGTGTACAAAGTACCAGATAACGTTTGCTGCTTTAGATATTATTTACTTTTTAAAGTTGTGTTTTACTATGTCTGGCATGATGGATGCTTTTCTTGAAAAGGTAAATCACTTTGATAAATGTTCCTCTGAAGTGTCTTGCAAATATCTTAAATAAACAAATGCCTAAATAAATATAGATATTTTATATTTCAGAAACTACCGAACAAGAGGCGACAGAAATGCAGTGTAAGTAACAGTGTATGTAAACATGGATTATGTAACTCTTGTCAAAAGGTTCTCTCCAATTGATGGATGATTTATGGCCCTAAAGCACTGGGAACTGCCCAGGGAAGTGGCCTCTGTACTCGTAAATGCTTGTAGGATGACTGTGGACCTGTAGGAAAAGGTTTTAGATGAGCTGAATCCATGGAGACAGAAATAACCTTGCAAAACTACTCTGGTTTGATTCTACAGAGTCACATGAATGCCTGTAGCCCTGTAGTCTAATAGATAAGATTTTGACAGCCTTGCCTGTATCCCCTGATATAGTGGTTTTCCAATGCTATTTGTGTCCATATGGATCCCAGTGATCTAAATCCTTTTCCCACACATCCATGGAAAACTTGCATTCTCTTAGAGATCACATGAACCACTTCCCTGAGTGTTTTGCTTTTGGGGGTGAGATTTCTGGCTGGGGCAGTGTTTCAGGGTCATAAATCATCCACCAATGAGAGAGAGAAGCCTTTTGACAGACGATAAATGACCTAACAACTTCTTTGTCAGTTACCAGTCTTGGAACGTGTGCTGTCTAAATTGCTCCTCAGTGAAGCATTGCTTGAAGGAGCCCTCCCTTTGGCTTTTCCTAGTCTGAATTAGGAGGGCGCTAAATTTTAGCCTTGACGTGGAAGCAGAAAATGTGTTGCATGATAAAAAAACCTCATGAGCTTTACTGAGAAGTAAGAGAAAACTGGTTAATAGCCTGAGAAATATACTGTAGCATTTTTGCTCTGTGATAGCTCTAGGAAGCCTATATCCAGCACAATTATCATTCTAGAGGAAGCACTAGGGTGGCACTCCTATTCCTTGCATGAAGCTCTTATGTTTCCTAAAAACAGGCTGAAAAGGTTGGACTGGGAAGGTGTCTGGACCAGGCTTTTGGTAGTGAAGATTACTATCGGAAGAGCTGCAAAATCCTGATGCTACCAGAAGCATTGCATAGGTGTTAGGCTTCCAGTCCCATTCCCAGAACTTTTCAGGCTATAGATCAGCATTAGATCATCTGGGTCCCTATTTGTTGTTACTCTATTACACCTCTTTGAACTTGACATTATTATAATCCTATACCAGCCTTCATGAGACAATTACTGAGAACAGCAGTACGCACTTAACAAACATGTGCAGTATTTCTTTGCAAGTCAATCCAAGTTCAAGCCTTGACGTGGAAGCAGAAAATGTGTTGCATGATAAAAAAACCTCATGAGCTTTACTGAGAAGTAAGAGAAAACTGGTTAATAGCCTGAGAAATATACTGTAGCATTTTTGCTCTGTGATAGCTCTAGGAAGCCTATATCCAGCACAATTATCATTCTAGAGGAAGCACTAGGGTGGCACTCCTATTCCCTGCATGAAGCTCTTATGTTTCCTAAAAACAGGCTGAAAAGGTTGGACTGGGAAGGTGTCTGGACCAGGCTTTTGGTAGTGAAGATTACTATCGGAAGAGCTGCAAAATCCTGATGCTACCAGAAGCATTGCATAGGTGTTAGGCTTCCAGTCCCATTCCCAGAACTTTTCAGGCTATAGATCAGCATTAGATCATCTGGGTCCCTATTTGTTGTTACTCTATTACACCTCTTTGAACTTGACATTATTATAATCCTATACCAGCCTTCATGAGACAATTACTGAGAACAGCAGTACGCACTTAACAAACATGTGCAGTATTTCTTTGCAAGTCAATCCAAGTTCAACTTTCCATAACCTGGTGCCCTCTAGTTGCTAATCCCAAACCAACAAGGACTCAGTTTGGAAAACACTGTCCTAGTTTATTCACCCAGAGCCCTTTTACTTGGCTGTCCATCTGCCCATCTAATTTTACTGGACCAAATGACATCTTCAAATACTTCCAGTAGCATTTAATCAAGAGTGGTGGTGGAAGTAGCAGTGTGGCCCTCCAAATATTTTCAAACTGCAGCTCAAAAGTTCAGCTTTTTCAGCTCTTGGCCTTGCTAGGCGTTCAATTATTACATTTCTCTCTCTCATGTGGGAGATGGGACATTTTAGAATAGTACAAAATAGTTCAAATTATATTTCCCTTTTTCCAGCAAAGGAAACTGAAGCTGTATCACAACCCCCGCCATACCCAGGAACAGAACCAGCTACACATTATCCACCTCCAGTTTCTCAAGTGCCATATGGATCTACCGGATACGTGTCTGGACCAACTGTTCCAGGTAAGCTCCTACGGCATGCCCATGTGTGCTTTCTTGTTTAACCAGAGAAACACAGCCAGATGAATTGGACATATTAAAGTAATGTAGCCACACAGTGCAAGTTGATTGCGGAGAGGAAATTCTATCACCAAGAAACTAGTTTAACTCAAATATTATTGTGGAAAGTCCTCTTGGTGTTGCCTTTTACCTTCAGAAACAAATGATAAGATAAGTATCACATTAAGTTGCAAATTATTTTTGAACTAAAATTCCAAAGGGCTTCTACCTATCATTTCCTGAAGCCTACCAGCACATCTGAAAACAATATGGCAGGGGTTGCATTCACACCAACATTAAATCAGAATTGAGGAGAATTCAGGTTCGTTAGGAGCTAACAGTATGATGCTAGTCCACATGTAAATGGGAAGGGCTAGCTTTTTTCCATCTATAAATGGGAATTGCTAGCCTGGAGTATTAGCCTATTTCTCCTCTTACAAGCCAGAATTTAAAGCCAGGATCTGAACCTAGTTTATAGAACCAAGTTTGCTTAGAAGAGCGACAAACCAAGGTCTAGCTTTGGTCATGCTACTAAAACTATGATCATGATTATCATCATGATCATTATTAATCTTAATAAGTACAGTATCTCATTCTTTTAGCCCAGTGGTACGTTACTTTCCAGATCTTCATGCACAGCAACTGTCCTCAACCCTACCAAGCACAGTTAAAGAGTTGTAGAAGTTGTAGTCAAACTGTTGAAGGACCACAAGTAAGCCACCACTCAACCATTCCTACTTGCAGAGAAGATACATGAGAGGGATTGGGCAACATGGACTCTGCAAGTGTTCAGAAAATTGTTGCCACTGGAAAAGTCATCCTAGCAGAAGTGCTTTTCCGAAATTGAACACTTTCCCTCTCATCTTGGGGCCATCAATGAGAGGGAGCCTTGGGCTCTTTGGAGGAGTCCTCAGTAATGTTTTACTTCCATCTCAAAAAATAATAATAATATAAATCACAGTGGCAGATGATGTCATCAACTTCATGCAATGTAAATCAAGACTATAAGATTTTGTCCAGTGTCTTCAAAGCCTAGTGAATAGAAGTATTTTTATGATTTGATGTAAGTTCTCTGTTCTTTGGATACATTCCAGCACAACCTACTTCAGCTTTCCTGTATCACCCAGCAACCTCTGGACTTGTCCCGTTACAAAGCCAGCCCGCTGCACCCGTAGTTTGGATGCCAGCTCCACCTGTACCTCCCAAATGCCCTCCTGGATTGGAATATTTAGCCCAGGTAACTTATTCTTATTTCCTGTTTTGTACCCTTTAAGCTTTTCCTTGTTTATGTCCTTTTCTGGAGGAAAATGTAATGTCATATAGTTAATTTTATGTAAATACAGTATATCAAAGAACATTAGATAATTGCACAAATACAAGTATTTGGTGATTTATTCCTGTTTTAATATCTATTTTCCCTTTCTTCTCACTATTGTTACAGATTGATCAGTTAGTGGTTGAACAGCAAATGGATCTTACAGAAGGTATATCTCTTTCTTATTCAAAACACTGTTGTTTAGATAATTTCAAGTGTTCACATCTTTGCTTTTCAAATTGTGGATGCCTTTAAGAGTAGATCTATTGAATATACACTTATTTTAATAACTACACTGGGAATATATTATTATTGTTTCACAAAACATTGCTCATTTTCAACTTTAATATTACAATGTGCTTGTTTAGGTATGAATTAACATTTTCCTTTAACTAGGACTCTATAAATTACATTTGACATTGACCTACTGCACAACATGTCCACACATACTTCCTTCTCACTCAAAAAATAAATAAATCTCAGTTTCACTCAATGTGATATCATCTTCATCATAGGAAGCACCATTCATTTTTCTTTTGGAAAAAGAGATAATGAATTCCTGAAATAATTTCTTCAAAAATCACTGTAAAAACTGACAGGTAAACAGCAAAACACATGAACAAAGCCACAATTGTGTCCTAAAAACACTGAAAACCCAACCTCAGCTGATACCAAATGCTTTCTGCATGAGTTGTGAGAGGTTAGGACAGTCCTGGATTAACCATTTAGTAAAATAAGCACATGCTTAGGGCATCAACAAGAGAAGGGGGTACCACAGAGTTTTAGTTCTTTTTCAGTGCAGGATTTTCCCTGGATCATGGTGCAAATGGTGCGCCTTCCATAACAAATCACATACATCCATCCCTCACCCTCAGCTATCTCCTTCTGTTTCTCAAGAGCCCCAAGAAAACAACTTCCCTACCTAAACCAATTGAGTATGTTCCGGTAAAAACTAAAGAGTATAAAGATATGCCTAGCAGGAAAATACATGTTTCGAGTGAAATGATCCATCATCATTTGGTAGGTTTTATTTCATTCATTCATTCATTCATTCATTCATTCATTCATTCATTCATTCATTCATTCATTCATTCATTCATTCATTCATTCATTCATTCATTCATTTAGTCTGTATTTTGGGAGATTGGGTGAAAATATAAAGAGCCACTGGTCTTTTAGACCCATGGACTCTCTGGTACATGTGCAAGCCAGAGAAATAACAGTCACTATTTAAAAAGCCACCAAATAAGTTTTAAGCTCTTGTTCGAGCTTTCAGTTTATAGATTCTGACAAAATCTATCTACATTAATCAAAATGTGAAAGTATAACATTTGCCTGGAAGCTGGTAATATGATTTACACACAATTTTGTATAAGATGTATGGTTCTTTTTAGCTAAATACTATACAATTACCATATTTTCATGCATATAATGTATGATATGGGGTTTTTTTAAGCTGTGGGACCTGCCACACATCATATGTGTAGGGATCACCATAATCTGTTTTGGTGCTTAGGGCCTCTAAAGGTCTTAATCCATTTTTTGTGCTTAGGGCCTCTAAAGGTCTTAATCCAACCCTGTGTTAGGAATTATATTTGTTTCAATTGGATGCATATTGAAATAAAGGGAATGATGACAGAAGAGGCATGATTTTGTTGTCTGTGATGGAGGCGAAGAACCTATAATGTTCATGAATCTTGACCCTTTGGTCTGTAGCTAGCATTGCTTAGAGTCCAGTGTGCAGGGCTACAGGTTCCCCATCCCTGCTTTGTGCCATTAGTCCTGTAGGAGCAAAATTCCGGAGTAATACCTCCCTATCCATTCTGCGGAAATAGAAGGAATGTTTAGAAGGATATATTCTCAATGCTAAAAGTGTCCCAGGTGTAGGGCTTAAATAAAACTAACTGTCATAGAGTCATAGAGTTGGAAGAGACCACCAAGGCTATCCAGTCCAACCCCCTGCCATGTGGAAATATGCATCAAAGTACTCCCAACAGATGGCCATCCAGCCTCTGCTTAAAAACCTCCAAAGAAGGAGACTCCACCACCCTTCGAGGCAGCCTATTCCACTGTCGGACAGCTCTGACTGTCAGGCAGTCCTTCCTAATGTTCAGATGGAATCTCTTTTCCTGTAGTTTGAAACCATTGCTCTGTGTCCTAGTCTATGGAACCCTGGAAAACAAACCTGTCCCCTCTTCAACATGACATCCTTTCATATATTTAAATATGGCTATCATGTCCCCTCTCAGCCTTCTTTTTGTAAGGCTAAACATTCCCAACTTCCCAAGCTGCTGCTCATAGGACATTGCTTCCAGACCTTTAACCATTTTAGTTGCCCTCCTCTGGACACGTTCCAGATTGTCAGTATCCCTCTTGAACTGAGGTGCCCAGAATTGGACACAATACTCCAGGTGAGGTTTGACCAAAGCAGAATCACATTGGCTTTCTTGGCAGCCACATCACACTGCTGACTCATGTTCAGCTTGTGGTCTACCAAGACTCCTAGATCCCCTTCACAGGTAATGTTGTCTAGCCAGGTGTCTTCCATCCTAGATCTGTGCAGTTCATTTTTTCTTCCTAGGTGGAGGACCTTACATTTCTCCTTGCTGAAAATCATTTTGCTAGTTTTGGCCCAGGACTCTAATCTGTCAAGGTCATTTTGATGAAGGAATCCTTTATCCTATCCTCTGGGGAATTAGCAACTCCCTCGACAATTTAGTATCATCTGCAAAGTTAACTAACATACTCTCCATTCCTTCATCCAAGTCATTGATAAAGATGTTGAATAACATGGGACCCAGAACTTTAAGTGGACCCATGAGATACTTCAGTGGACTAATGGATTGGAACAACCTCTCCTATACTTCTGTCTCCCTGCAGCCCCCTTTGTTCTCCAAAACAAAACAAAAAAGCTGTGGAGGGCCAAGGGACCCTCTGGAACAGCATTGGCATTGGTTCCTATGGAGAGGAAAGGGCAGATTGAAGAAAATAACTTGCTCCTTTCTGCGCATTGAAGTTTTGGAACTGCAGCCTCCTCCACAAAAGGCATTAATCTCAGTAGAGCACATGATCCTTTCTTCACATTGAAAAAGAGAGAGTTTGAAATTGATAAATCAATAAATGATAATAAAGTGTGCCCAGACAGTTCAAATCAATTTAAGTCAAGGAGAATAAATGCTTTTTGACATGAATAGTGTTTGCAAAAGTTACTTTTCTGGAATAGATCTCCAAAAATCCTCTTGTAGCTGTGAGGGGATTAATAGTCCGGGGAAGGGGAAAAGAAACTTACAAACAAATAAACAAAAACTTATCTATGCGCAGTGCTAGGCTTCCTTTACCGGGGTGAGGGAAGTTTGACCTCTTCTGATGACAGTTAGTCAATTGGCTGGCTACTTGGAGGCTGTACGTACATAATGCTGTACGTCTCTGCATAGCAACATAACTTCATGTATAATTAGTCATAACTTTATAAGGTGAGCAAACAAGAGACTAAGTGGTCGTACACATTTGTATGGCTGCACTTAGAAGGTGAAGGAGGTGTCCCCAGTGATGCTTGTTCATGTTGAGGACAAAAATTTGAAACAACAGAAGAACTGTGTTGACACTTTTTCCTTTTCAGTATTAAGTCGCTTTGAGACATTAAACCGATATGAAATCAGAAACTCTCTGGGGCAGAGGATTTACTTTGCACAGGAAGAAAATGATGAGTACAGCCTGCAATGCCATGGGAGCTTGCGAGGATTCGTCATAAAGCTCTTTGACAGTACAAACCAGCCAGTCATGCAGTTGTCCAGAGAATGCCGGTGTGACATTTGCTGCTGCCCTTGTATTTGCTGCCTGCAGGAGGTCAGTAACCATGTGTCTTTCCATGAGCCCCTCTGTTAACTGTTCTTAAGTTCCTATCCATTAAGCTAGACTCTCTGATTCTTTCAAATACGTTTTTCAAAATATTGCTGTCCAGCCACTGTGCTACAGGTGCTTGGGTACCTGATGGCAGCAATTAGGTTCTACCTCATTCTCAAGCCATTTCTCTCCATGTGCTTTCCAATCTTAGTAGGCTTAATAACTTTGCAAAATAAAATATTTGTATTTCTGTGTAAGGAAAATATATATCATTGACTTGTTTTAATCATGCTGCATTTTTTTGAAGCTTGAAGTTCAGGCCCCTTTAGGCACAGTCATTGGCTACGTGAAGCAGAAGTGGCACCCCTGTCTCCCTAAATTTGACCTCCAAAATGAAACCAGAGAAAGCCTACTGAAAATGAAGGGCCCATGTGTTCCATGCCAGTGTTATCGGGATGTCCATTTTGAGGTAAGCATTCTCTATAATGCTGATTATTATGTTAGGATTGGAACATCAGGTTCCAGAATGTGGTAAAATGAAAGCACCTCATCTCTCTTTCACTCCCCACCCGCCCACACACTTTTTGATGACCCTTAAGCGTTTTTTAAATTATAAATTGGTATGGTCTTTGTTCTCATAGCTTCCACCTCCAGGGTATTACCTTCAATGCTGAATCTCTTCGGATTTGCTATTTCAAATGATGATGCCTTGAAGGCTTGTTGACACTGAAAAACTTAAAATCTCATTGGGTTGAGATGTAAAGAGAGAGACAGCAAACAGACAGAGAAATAGATAGACAGACAGATAAATGGACAGACCAAGAAATTATTTAGGTCCACCTTATTCTTATCAAAACAGGTTAAATTCTGCCAGAACATTAGTCATACATTTAAGACAATTGAAGCAACCAACTTGGCTCCTCTGTCAGCTGGAGGAGAAGTGGTGGAACAGAGGACAATAAATGTGGAAGTAAACAATATAGTAGTACCTTTGCATTTAGAAAGAAAGTAGATGAATGTGTTTTCAATTTGGAGGTCTCTGTGTCTGCTTAAAATACAAGGAAACTGTGACCAATCACCAGCCATTACAACCTAATTTGCAACTGGTGGACCTACTAAAACAAGAAAGAGGATACTCTTTGTCCCTTCTAGAACTGTGGATGGAAACCAGAAGTAAAATCCCACAGGGACACAAAAAGAGTGTATGTTGGCTACTGGAGTGTAACACAGGTTTTCAGTAGATCACTATGTGCTATATAGACTACAGCAACTACTGGAGTGTAACACAGATTTTCAGTAGAAGATCACTATGTGCTATATAGACTACAGCAAAAATGTTGACTGTGTGGATCATGAAAACCTATGGCTTTTTCTTAAAGAAATGGGCGTGCCTCAACATGGATTGTCCTGAAGTAAAGCCTACGCTCAGCACAAGAAAGTACTGTTAAGAAAAGAAAACAGAAAAACAGAATGGTTTCCCACAGACAAAGATGTGAGAAAAGGGGTGTATTTTATCTCCCCATTTGTTCAGTATCTATGCAGGTTAAATTCATATGAAACAGAACCGAAAACTGGTGGAAGAAAAAGCAGTAATTTAAGATTTGCAGAAAACCTTACTGGCAGAATACAGCAATGGCTTGACTTCAAGTGACTCCTGCAGGTAAAAGAAGAAAATGCAAAATCAGGACTGCAGTTAAAAATTTTGAAGACAGAAATCATGACTACAAAAGAATTATATGACTGTAATGTTGAGCATGGTGAAAGTGAAAGGGTTAAAGCCTTTGTATTGAGCCAAATTCTAAACACAGCAGGGCATGTATAAATGAACTAGGATAGATCATCTGGGTGAAATATTTCTAATTGCTATGTAGGAAAGTGAAAGCTTGGCAGTGAATAAAATTAAGAGAATAAAAAAATCAGTTCATTTGACACATAGTGTTGAACCAGACCTTTCCAGATACCACAGAGATTCCGAAAGACAAATAGCTGGGTTCCTGATAAAGCCTGAACTCTCTAGAAGCAAAAATGAAGACACTGAGGCCACATAATGAGAACACAAGATTTTTTTTAAAAAAACAATACTATGTACTCTGGTTTCTCTTCAGATCGTATAAGACAATACCGCTAGTAAAAGTTGAAGGCAGCGGAAAAAAAGAAATGTGGAATGTGAGATGGCTTAAAGGAAGGAAACCACATTCTTGAATTTTCAGGAGCTGAGCAAGGCTATGAATAAGTGGGCCTTCTGGAGGTCAATACCCCATAGAGTCACCGTAAGTCATAAGCAACTTAGTGGCTCATAACAACTCAGGTCACTTTAAATTAGGTATATACCTTTTCTTGTACTGTGCTACATAGTTATATGCTGTCAAGCTGCCTCTGACATCTGGCACCATACTATACTGCTTTCTTCTGATCTACGGGGAATTGTGGGGGAAGAATGGTAATTGGAACAACATATTGTTTGCCTTATTTAATCTTATTTGAATAATTTTAGAGTTGAAAAACAGTGGCAAGGTTAAATGAAGGAAGCTATAAGCTTGCTCCGTATTCTCTTTGCTGGACTGAAGAATCTTTGTTGTTCTAAATCTTTTGGAATTGATATCCCAGAACTCTCAGCCTGTCCTAACTAATGTCAAGGATTTGCGAGATGGCCATCCCTGGTTTATGATTATTCCCTGTCCTGGATTTCATTCAGGGAACATCCTGCAGAGGCAGGAACTGAAACTGGGACATACTGCATGCAGATTATGGGTTTGAGCACTGAGTTTTTATCTTCCATATTTCATTTAATAATCAGGTGAAAACTCTGGATGAGACCGCTACAATTGGAGTTATGACTAAACAGTGGACTGGAATGGCACGGGAGGCTGTTGCGTCTGCCAGCCTCTTTGGAATCCAGTTCCCACTGGACCTTGATGTGAAAATGAAAGCCCTTGTGCTTGGGGCTTGCATCCTTCTGGTAAGTTGAATGGTGTTGATTGTTCCTTAGTAGAATATTAAGACTGAATTGAAGCAGTTTGTTGCTGAATCCCATATGAGTTTTCATGTACAGTGGTGCCTCGCAAGGCAAATGCCTCACAGGACAAAAAAAAAACACCTTGCAAGACAAATGGTTTTGGCAATGAGGGGGTTGATGACTCGCAAGACAAATGTTCATATGGCCATGCTTCGCAAGACGAATGTTTTCTGTTTTTTGTTCCTGCCTCATGCTGGCTGATTTTTAAATGTTTTTCTATGATGTTTTAAAAGTTGGAATTTTTGAAATCATCTGCACAATATGTATGGCTTTAAAGAGCACTTAATAAACCCCTTTGTAACCCAAAGTTGACTTTGTTCTGCCTTTTTTTTTGCCCATAGGAACGCATTAATTAGATTTCAATGTATTCCTATGGGAAAATGCGTTTCGCAAGATGAATTTTTCGCAAGACAACATTAACCACGGAACAAATGAAATTCGTCTTGCGAGGCACCACTGTATATATTGTATTCCTCACCCTTGGAGCTGAATGGTAGTAGAGCCTTCCTGGCCCATTTAAAATTTACACCAGCTAATCAATGCTTTAATGGTAGATGTTTTCCTTTTGATATACACGCTGATCTGTTGTATTAGGCTGCCCAGCTGTGGAAGGTTAATGCCAAATTTCTGTTAATCCAAAGAAGCAGAAACTTGTAGAGTGTGAAGAGGAAAATTTGTAGAATGAAGTGAAATCCGTAGGATGTTGTGGGTGAAAAATATAAAAAGATGCTGGATAACTCCGTGGTTTAGGTATCTGGCTGCCGAGCCAGAGGTTGGGAGTTTGATTTCCCCCTTTGCTTCCTTGATATGGTGTATAAGGTCCCTTCCACACCTGCAGTTCTAAGATGATGATGATGAAATTGTGGTTTTTACAGTGCTGCTGCTGAAGGGTACAGTGTTTTTATTGCAAGGGAGAGATTGTTTAACATAGCACTTCATAAAGCAAATTTTCAAGTTTCAAACTTCCAGGATGTCCTCATCACCTTGGTAACCAGCCATGAAGGCAAAAGGATGCTGGCTGTTTTTTAAAAAAGTTACTTTCCCAAGTTCTCTACAATGTATTGGATTTATGGTCTGAGTCATGGGTTGGTGATACTTTATTAGACCAGCAAAAATCACAAATATAAGTTCGCTTTTGATTTCCTGCCATGGGACTTTGTCATGCAGGGCACCAAAGAGGTGGTGGTGGTGCAAAAGCAACATGGAAGATCCAAAGTTGTGCACAGAGATCACACAGTAGTCTAAAATTGTTACTCTGTTTTACTCCAATTTATCAGAAACACAAATACATGTAACCAAAGCCCTATTCTTTTGCTGTTCGCAAACACAACATTGTATTAAGTTCTATAGATTTCATCCTCATATTTTCTGCACTGTAAACATCTTTACTTTTGGAGATTCTGTGTGATATAGAAATGAGGCAAGATCTTCACTCAGGTTTGTCTAATTTCTGGTGTGTTTTTTTTATTTCTGTGTAGGATTTCATATTTTTTGAACGCAGACAACAACAAAGGCAACAGCGGCGATAATATGCTCGACTCCTGCATCTTGCTGGCTTCAGAGAGTCTGATTTTATTTTGCTGACAAGGAGTGTTAAGCTTTCTGATAAGAGAATTTTTTTGCAAAAAAAAAAAAAAGGACGGGAGCAGATTTCTGTAATCTAAGCTTACAGCTGCAGCGTTGTCACTTTAAGCAGACACAACATATTTGCATTTATGGGGACTGCTCTGGAATAAATATTAAAACATAAAATGACTGCATTATTATAAGGTCATATTAGTGTAACAACTGTTGGTTATTGGTGCAATTCCTTCAGTGTGCAATCTGATTTTTATATGCTGTACCCAATAACACTGCCACATTCTGCACTAGCTGAAGCATCTATGCTATCCTCAAGGTCAGCCCCTTATAGAATGCATTGCAGTAATGTAGACAAGAAATTAGCTAGCTTCGCACAGAGGAGAAAATTCAGCCATGTCTTTTGGTCTCAGCCCTGTTGTCCACACTACATTTGGTGGGATACCTGAAAAAGATCCTCTCATGCAGCAGCAACCTCCCTTTCCATGGGATTCCCGATCATAAAGAAGTTGAGAAAGCATGAAAATGCAACAACTGTATGTGGCCCTTTTTCAGGTATTGAGGCTGATCCTGCAGGTGCGATCCTCTTTGCTCCTCCCTGTGGAGAAAGAGTGCAGGGAGGTGACTTCAGTCATAAGAAGTGCCTTCATCTAGTCTGATGTTTGTTTAAATGGGTTGAAATGTTTCCAGAACTCCTGGCTTCTCACAGCAGGAGACAGGGAAGTTATCATGTCTCTAATTTTTTTTTGTAGAAGGTAGAATTTAAGCAGATGCAATTTAAGGAGCAAGTCAGTGGGATTGGACGGGAGATCCAAGGTGTCTCAGTCAGCAATGCTGTACTCTTCCATACAGTGTCATCGAAACTACCAGCGTGAATTTGACCCAGCTCTGGGAGGCAGTGGAAGACAGGAGGGCCTGGCGTGCTCTGGTTCATGGGGTCACAAAGAATCGGACACGACTTAATGACTAAACAACAACAATTCTAACATACAGTGCTCCACTTCCATGATAACTGCCTGTTTTCTTAATTGACCAATGCAACACTGTTCAGTAGAGGTGCTATATTCCATATGGATGTACAATTAAAATGTCTTGTGATATGTGATGAGTTTTTATCCCTAAATATGATATGCTACACATATAGATAGATATATTTGTGCAGCTTCCACTTTAATTTTCAGCATGCTTAGCCTTTGACAATTTGTTAATTCTTCGGTCCACTCAGTTCTTGGTTTTTAACATATTGCTCCTTGGAAATATTTATATTAAATGCATTACATGTTTAATCCAAAGCAAATTTGTCTGAGTTCAGTGAGTGTTATTTCTGACATAGGGTGTGGTTACACATTGAAAAACTCCTGGATTTGTGTTGAGTTTGGTATGCTTTTAAAAATAGCTGTACACGTAATGTGCAGCTGAGCGTGCTCTTTTTTTTGGCTAGGAAGCTTGTTTTTTGTGTGGAAAGCAACAGCTTTGAGGGGGCTATTTATTTTATGTAAATTGTGGATGTGATTTATTTTTATTGTTTTAGCATGTGTGCTTGCCTCTGTCAGAGTAAAATGTGTCTATGGGGTTTGTCAAGTAATGGATGTCAGGATCACAGGTTTTAGGCTGCAGTGAAGCTTTGCAGTATGATCTTTTATATATATTTTCCTGTCTGTAATGCTGAAATAGCACTATCCTGCTTTGAAAGAAATAAAATTACTATTAACAAATAACTGTTAGCTGCAGAGGTGAGTGGCTATCAGTGGCAAGCAGTGTGATGGGAAGCAGGTACTACAAACCTCATTGCATTTCGGGCTCTCCTGCCCTCACACTGGCTGCCTCTCACAGCCACTCACTGCTGCCACCACCAGTGTTGTTTTCAATATTTGTTTTAATGTTTAATTTTCTTTTAAACTAGGATAGCACTATTTTAGTATTACAGATAGAGAAAAAAAACCACAGATCAGACTGCAAGGTTTCCCTGCAACCCAATACTCGTGAACCTGATAAACCACACACAGTCAGGTGCACATGCCACTGTGAGAGTGGGCGGGTACAAGACAAAGCCTCAATTGTGCAGATTCTTAAAGGGTTTGTAGCCCCCTCAACAACACAGCTTAAAAAATGGATTAAAAGTTGTCTCAAGAGGCTGTACACACCAACCCCAAAGCCACATGACCATCTTGTGATTTTATTTAAAAATCCCAATACCTCACCTGATTTATTTCAATATTGGAACTACGCCCTTATTGTGTACAAAATTGCAACATATTGCACCATCCTAAACATACTTATTTAGAAATAATTCAGTGAGGTTTACTCCCTACTAAGGGAGTAAACCTTTTTTGAACTGTCTCATCATAGGATTTTGGAGATCACTCATTCATACAATCACCATAAGTTGGTGGCAAGTTGACAGTGTGTAACAATTAAATAGTTACAGACATTCAGCCTAAATAAAAAAAGTCAGTGCAGTAGTTCGAGTTAGCTTAGAGGTAGGGATTTTACCCTTAATTTTCACTCACTTGAACACATACTCTCTCCTTTCCCTGCAGCACATCATGCTCATGACAGTCAAAATTTAAAATACACCTTAATAACATCCTTGGATTTGAACCCTGTCCCACAAAAATGTAATCTGCTTTCTTTAAATAAGAACTTCTTCTCCTGTGCTACATTGCAGGCGACTTCTGAAAGCTTGCTATGTAATACAGAGGAAAGGGGTGGCCCATGGTTCTAGCAAGGGTCACCTCACCTGAACAGCCAAAATTCCTTTACAAACCATGTGTCACTAGTACATGTTGGTGGCTCCACCTTGAGGAAATTCCCCTTGGGGACATGGGAGGAGCCGTGTAGCTCTTGGGATTCCTGCCCAAAATATAGAGCATATTGTTTAAAGGAAGGAAATGGACAACACAATAGAAGAATACAGCTCAAGAGTAAATGCAGATTAAACAAGGAAACTGCCAATTAGACAAGGAAAAAGCAACAACATTAGCATTACACGCCAGTGAAATAAACAAACCTTTTGGGGTTTCTTTGACTTACAGTACAAATTCTATGTTTACAATAAAGTCTCACCTTTAAATTAAAAACCATTGCAAGATGAAGGGGTACTGAACTGCTGCTGCTCAACTAGTTCCTCACTTACTTGCAAGATGAATGGGTACTGAACTACTGCTGCTGCTCAACTAGTTCCTCACTTATGGATTTAAAAATAAATAAATCTGTAGAGTACTCTCTGCTGTCTTATGTATGGTCTACGAGTGAAAGGGATAGAAACATGTTATCCAGCTGGGTTCAGAGACCAGTACAGGGAACTGGAATGAACCACCATTCTGTCTGGCATGATCTCAGCCTCAATATGAATTGATTTGTAAAGCATCTCATTAACTTGCGTTGGAAAACCAAAATGGCTGTAACTTTTCTTGTTTTTCCAATGATGTATACAGTACATGACATCTGGACAGGGTAAATTCTACGGCTGTAACTTTTCTTGTTTTTCCACTGATGTACATGACATCTGGACAGGGTAAATTCTAAATAGGAAAGTATACAAGCCCAGTTTTAGACAATGTTTCAGGGCTTGTACACTAGGCACCTTGAAAATTTGCATTTAAGAAACCAAAACAACTAGTGGACTGAATTAGTGTGTGCCCCAGGTGAAAACCCATTTTGTAAATTTCTTTTGCTTCATGGTGAAAACAAATATCGATTTCCTGCTTCAATCCAGATCTCATACAAACCAAGCTGAATTGGAATGATTAGATTAGCAGAAGCCTCATGGTGCAGTGGTTAAACTGTAGTATTACAGTTAAAATTCTGCTCACAGTCAGTGTTCAATCCCAGTGGATTCTGGCAGTAGAAGCCTCATGGTGCAGTGGTTAATCCCAGTGTTCAATCCCAGTGGATTCTGGTAGCTAGCTCAAAGTTCACTCAGCCTTCCATCCTTCCAAGGTTCGTAAAATGAGTACCCAGCTTCCTGATGGTAGGCAGCAATACGTAGCCTGTATAATTCAATTGTAAAGCACCCAGAGAGTGCTTTAAGCACTATGGAGTGGTACTGTATTTTAAAAAGCACACTTTGCATTTGGGCTTTAGTATGCACTTAAACTAGAACCAACACACAGCCCGCACTGAAACTATGAGTCCAGGGACTTAATTTCACAGGGAACATTTTGTATCAGCTGCTCTGGTAAACCCAGGGTCTGTACTGTCATCTCACTGAATCCTGTGCCCATCACATTCTCTTCTCTTATCCATCCCAGGAATACAAGTGGCATGGACACAAGGACAAAGGGGGTACCACTTCAAGGGAAATGTGGTTTAATTTGTTATCCAAATCCAAGAGTGTAATTAATTCTTGGTAACCTGTACATGCTCACTGGAAGGACAGATCCTGAAGCTGAGGCTCTAATACTTTGACCATCTCATGAGGAGAGAAGGCTTCCTGGAAAAGACCCTGATGTTGGGGAAATGCGAAGGCAAGAGGAGAAGGGGACCACAGAGGACAAAATGGTTGGACAGTGTCATCGAAGCTATCGACATGAATTTGATCCAACTTCAGGAGGCAGTGGAAGACAAGAGGGCCTGGCGTGCTCTGGTCCATGGCGTCACGGAGAGTCGACATGACTTAACGACTAAACAACAACAAACCTGTACATATATTGCATTGCAGATCTGAACAAATAAGCAAATCTTTTTGGTGCAGAATTGACGTTCTTTTCTTAAGGAAGCTTTGAACTACTGTAGAAGCAACGTGTATCTCTCTGGATCTTGTTGCACTGCATGTTCAGGATAGTATATAGCCTATGGAACAACACATTTCCTAATCCCTGATCTGTTCTGTGCCAGTTGATTCTTTACAAGCACAGTGTGGCAATCCACTCTAAAACACCAGAAAATGAAAAATTAACAAAGAAATTATAAGATCAAACTAGATTAGACATCCTTCAGTCTCGAGAGACTATGGTAACAGCTCTCAAACTATTTAAAAAGTTTTAAAGATCAAACTATTTAAAAAGATAAAAACATTCTGGCACTGTACAGACTACTCTG